GCTTAAACATGTCTTGTATAATTTTTTATAAGTGCGCCTTGTACTTGTGTATGAAAATTGTACTGAACAGAGTTTAGGGAGTAATACAAACTTAACAGTTCTGTGCTGGTGGGTGAAAGGCAAGCCGTCAAGACTGGCAGGGCCTTTAGGGAAAGACTGAACCCGGTCTCAGAGTCAAGGGGCAAGGTGCGCTCAGGGTGCACCGCTGAAGTACCTGGCTGCTCCCTGTCGGGTGGTGGGGGTCAAGGCCCTCCAGCAGCTCTGTGGGAGAAATACCTGCCGGTCTGCTGCTGGGAAGGGGACAGCCTAGAAACCCCAGTGAACCGTAGTTCCACTGTGGTCTCGGAGGGCAACTGGATGGCGCCCGACAACAGCCAGGGTCAACCCCGTGGTTGTATTCAGAGTGCAAAGGAAGAAAAGAGTTGTGTTAGTCCGGGTAGACTAGAGAAAGAAATCCATACAAACTCATATATGTATAAGAGAGTTTTATATAAAGGGTAATTGTACTTTATGAAAGTATCCCAACCCAGTCCAGTCCAAGCCCATAAGTTCAATAGCCCATGTGTCCAATACCAATCTATAAAGTCCTCTTCAGACTCACAAAAGGCATGCAATGATGCTGGATGCAGGATGATCACAGGCCAGTGGGTAGAAAGTCTTTGGTCTAGTGGTGCTGTAAGCATCTCAGTGCTGGCAGGGATCTCCAGGTGGCTTTCTGTAGTTCCCAGGGCATGGAGTCTATCAGCGTGGTGCCAATTGTCTTGTCAGTAGAGAGTCCCCTGCCTCCAGGAAGGAATACATTATTTCCCAGAATTCTCAGGAGAAGGCCATGCCTACACAGAGGCCTCATTGGCTATGATCCGATTGACAGACTAGACTCCACTCCTTCACTCTTAATCCTCTCAAATTGACACCAGATTATGTAACTACGACAACAGTTAACCCTTCACACTGCTGGGCACAATCTGCAGACCCAAGAACCCGCTGAAGCCTCACCCCCTACCCCCACCCCCACCCCTCCACCCCAGGATGTGACAATGAGCCAAAGACAAAGGACACCATCTCCAGTACTGGCAGAGCTCCCCGTGGGGAGGATGGTGAACACACGTGGGTTTATTGACCTTGTTTGAAGCTGCTCATCATACTTTATTGAAAAAAAGTAAACATCGTGCTGTGTGAGTTTGATCGCATAGGATGTTATTTTTGAAAGCAAGGAGCAAAGAGGTTGGGTGTTCCATGCTTACCATGGTCATTTAAGGAGCCCTGGTGTTCCTACTGAGTAAGCATTGAAATGCTACCTGCAAGGTCAATGGTTCAAAACCACCGGCTGCTCTGCCCAAGAAAGATGAAGCAGTCTGGTCCCATAAAGATGCATCACCTTGGAAACTCTTTTCCAGAATGGTTATAATCAGCATTGACTCTGTGACAATAGTGGTGTGCATGAGCCCTGTTGGTACAAATGATTAAGTGTTAGGCTGCCAACAGAAAGGTTGGCAGTTCAAACCCACCCAGAAGCCCCAGGGGCACCAGGCTTGGCAATCTGCTTCCCTAAGATTACAGCGTAGAGTGCTTTTTGAGGCAATTCTACTCCATCACATGGGATTGTGAAGAATCGGAGTGGACTCAAGGACACTCGGCAACAAGGAAAACCCAGTCGGTGGTCTCGATAGCTGCCTGAGCACCCGTCAGGAAGAAGGATTTGATAGTTAACCATAAAGCTTATCATTGTTGCTATAAAAATTACATCCTATTTTTTTTTCTTTTTTTTTCTTTTTAGTATGTGTTTCATCATCAAGCCTTTGGACAATACATCCTATTTTTTAAAATCATTTTATTAGGGGCTCATACAACTCTTATCACAATCCATACATACATCAATTGTGTAAAGCACATTTGTACATTCATTGCCCTCATCATTCTCAAAACATTTGCTCTCCACTTAAGCCCCTGGTATCAGGTCCTCATTTTCCCCTCCTTCTCTGCTCCCCCCTCCCTCATGAACCCTTGATAATATATAAATTTATTATTTTGTCATATCTTGCCCTGTCTGACGACCCCCTTCACCCACTTTTCTGTTGTCCATCCCCCAGGGAGGAAGTCACATGTAGATCCTTGTAATCGGTTCCCCATTTCCAACCCACTCTCACTCCACGCTGCCAGTATCGCCACTCACACCACTGGTCCTGAAGGGATCATCCGCCCTGGATTCCCAGTGTTTCCAGTTCCTGTATGTACCAGTGTACATCCTCTGGTCTAGCCAGACTTGCAAGGTAGAATTCAGATCATGATAGTGGGGGGGGGGGGGGGGGGGGGGGGGGGGGGGGGGGGGGGGATCATTTAGGAACTAGTGGAAAGTTGTATTTTTCATCGTTGCTACATCATACCCTGACTGGTTCGTATCCTCCCCAAGATCCCTCGGCAAAGGAATCTTTAGTGGCCTACAAATGGGCTTTGGGTCTCCACTCTGCACTCCCCACCCTCATTCACTATGGTAAGAATTTTGTTCTGATGATGCCTGATACCTGATCCCTTCGACACCTCATCATCTCACAGGCTGGTGTGCTTCTCCCATGTGGGCTTTGTTGCTTCTGAGCTAGATAGCCCCTTGTTTACCTTCAAGCCTTTAAGACCCCAGCAACAACAAAACTTAGAATGAGTCCCATGAACTTCAGGATGATATCCCAATTTCTCTGCTTGAAATTCCTTCCTCTCTACTCATCTCCTGCCTCCTTTTAGTGCAGTAGATAGAGCCCAGTCTTCCCTTCCTCTCCTTTCCCCCATCGGTGCTGTTCGCTCCACCCCATGGGTTCATGGTGTCTGCTTTTGCATGTCATTTGGATTTTGGTTAAAATGGTCCTCCTACAAGAGTTCTTCCCTGAGGATGCCTTCGAGAGCAGGGCCCCCGCATCACGCTGTCCTTATACTGAGTGACGATCCGTCTCCACACTCGTGTGGTACTGTGCACTTAGTCTGTTCACCTGCTCCCATTATCAAAGTAGACATTCTATGAGGACAGCAGCTTGGTCCGCCTCCCGCTGAACCCTCACTACCTAGAGTGGCCCCTGCTCTGTGGAACAAGCCCATAAATACTCGTTTCATGAACAAATGCGAGAGCAAGGGAACTGTGCTTTGATCTCTCAAACCTGATGGGTTTATTAAACATTTAAAACCTGACGTGGATGTGGAAACAGGCTCGACTCTTTCCTTTCTCCCCCACCCCCCACCCCCCTTCGGTGAGAGAAAAGGAGATCTGGAAATAGAATGGGAGAAGTTTCTGTAAATTTCTGGTAACCATAGAGACGGTGATTTTAGTTTATTAATCTCACGCTCTTAAGCAAGCTGGGGCCCCACAGTGATTTCTTCAAATTGCTCGGTGCTGGTTCTCCTGCAGCCTTCCTCATTAAGAAGAGCAGGCCATTCCTGTCCTGCACACCCTAATTACCAAGGAGCTGTTATGCTCCTGATTGTATTTCTAACCAGGCTGCGCCTCTCACTCCCGAACAATGGAACAACGGTCCCCAGCTCTGAGCCCTGGGGCCTTCAATGGCAGGCAGGGAGAGTGGCCCGCCTCCTCTGCAGCCTGGGACAGGGCCTGGCTTGGCCCTGTAACTCTTGCTCTAGCTTCTCCTCCAACTGTGCTGAAGATGAGGGCTTGATAGGTTCTGGAACAGCATCAAGTTGCGGCCAGGGGAAGGTGCCACACAGGAGCGGGTTTCTGCGCACCATGGCTCTGCCTACAGGGGCAGACCTTGGGTGGGTGTTACCTGGTGTCTTCCAGGGTGATGTTCCTTTTCACAGGGGCATTGGCAGGTGAGAAGGAGCATCGCCTTCTCTAATTCCACCTCCCTTGCCCTTTAGATAAGAGATCTCCACGTTGTTTCTGACTTTCCATCCTTGCTTAAGGGTCACGGTCTTAGAAACCTATGGGGAGATTCTGCCCTGTCTTACTGGGTCTCTATGGCTCAGCATTGACTCAATGGCAGTGAATTTGGTTTGGTTTTGAGAGCAGAATGGAGCAGTTAGGATCACCTCTCCTATGGCCGCATCTTCTTCAGGAAAGGGCCCAGGCGTAGATGTCAGAAGACCAGAGTGTAGATTCCAGGTTGGCTGCTGACACAGTGCAGCTGAAGGTGGGGACTCCATCTTGATGAGTCTTCATGTTCTCACCTGTCATCTGAGACGCGACTTGGTGGCTGCCAAGGTCCTTCCACCGGGCAGTTCTGTGAAGACTCTGGTTCTGGAGGCTGGAGCCTTGTGGCAGGGCACGGGCAGCAAGTCTTCTAGGGTGCAGGAGGCAAACGTTCTAGGGAGGAGGCAGGCTTCTCTCCTTTGGCGGCTCATCTAAGGATGATTGCCCTCACCTAGTTGTGAGTGTCCAGTTTGGAAATTCTAAGAGTCCCCTTTGGTTGAATTCCATCTTATCTGGTTAGGGAATGTTGATCATTCTCTCAGGAAATAATGAGTAAGCTCCTGCTAGGTACCAGGCACTGTACGTGGTGCTAAGGGCTCCATTTTCCATGTTTAGTTGCTATTGAGCGAGCACTGACTCATGGCAACTTTGTGTATGTAACAGAATATAGCATTGTCCTGTTCTGGACTGCCTTTCAGCCCATTCTTGCAGCTACTCTGTCAATCCATCTACTTGAGGACGCTCATATTTTTGTTGACCTTCAACAAAAGTCACTACCTTTCCTAGCACCTGATCTTTCCTGGGGTTCGAGTCAGCCAGCTTCAGCCTACCACACATTCGTTCAGGGTTAGGGTTTGGCTACAGTTATCGGACAGGCTCAGACTCTGGTAGAACAGACTGGTTTTCATGGCCATGGGCCTGACTTCCACCTACACCAAATCTGTCTTCATTGTATCTGAGAAGAGGCCCGGGGAAGAATCTGGTCTCTGGGCTCTCAGCAGAGCTGGAGCAAAGACTCGGGTGGGCTCGTACCTGGGGGGACCCTGGTCTCGTCACGGACAGCACTGAGTCTGGCTCATCTTCATTCCAGGTGCCGCAACCTCTCCTTCCCCGAGAGTCTGCCAGAGGTGAGCATCGTGTTCATCTTCGTCAACGAGGCGCTCTCCGTGCTGCTGCGCTCCATCCACTCCGCCATCGAACGCACGCCCTCGCACCTGCTCAAGGAGATCATCCTGGTGGACGACAACAGCAGCAACGGTGAGTGCCTGGGCTCCCTGGCCAAACCTTCTGAGCACGGGCTCAGCTGCTGCTCAGGGGTGTTTTCTCGGGGGTCTGTGTAGTTTCCCCCTCTCTGGAGAGAGGGTAGATCTCAGTGGAAACTGTCTGGGAAGGTCTCTTATTCTAGGTGCACGCTCTGCCTCCTGGAAGAAGTTGGACTTTTCTGACTGGCCGGCTCCTGTCTCCTCCAACCTCTACAGCAATCTGATGAAATAAGGAACTCTGACCTCTGCCCCCGCCAGGAACACAGGGCATATTTCCAGGGACTACTGTTTCTCTAACGCGTCACTTGATTTTAGCCTGAATGGTGCTGCTTGGCCCCTGCCCTCGAAGAGTGTTGGGGGGTGTCATCCTAGTAGTGATGGGGATGAGGGTGGAGATATTTTTGAATAGTTTCCTTAGCATCGTACTCCATGTACCATTCGATGTAATCATTCCGTCTTACGGAGAAGAGTTGTGCAATCGTCACCACACTCCATTTCCGAACACTGTCTCCGTATGCTCATTGTTGTTAGCTCCCCATCTATCGTGCCTCCCCCTCCCCTGCCATGCCCCGAAGTGGAAATTGCTTTGGGAAAAACTTCTCCTGTTACTATCACTATAGATCCACCTCGCCTGGGCTTCATCTACAGAAAAAGCATATAAAATACAACCAGGAAGCATAATAAATGACCAGACAAAACAGAGAAACCTCAATCGAAAAGAAAGCAGAAAATATTATAAACTGAAACAACTTGAAAATGGGTCATAAGGGAGATAAACTGATAAGGTATTACATTTTAACCCAACTATACCTGTCATAATTGACTTTTAAAGTCTGACAGAAAAGCTAGTCACATCTCTAGACTATGTTCAGAGGGGTTCCCTGGAGACTTAATCCACGCGTGGACCTGGCACATCTGTTTTAGGCTTTCACGATCACCCACAGCCTGCTGCAAGCCAGGTGTTCACAATTTAAACCCTGAACTCGTTCCTCCTTTCAGATTTGGATTTTATTATTTACAATCCTTGGCTCACGCAGGCTGGTGTGCTTTTTGCATGTGGACTTAGTTGATGCCTCGCCTAGATGGCTGCTTGTTTTGAAGACAAGCCTTGCAGACCTCTGATGCTGTTCTTTCTGACAGCCGGGCATGACGGTGGAGGCTTCGATGGTGACGGTGGTAGAAAAGCCACAGCGGTATACATGGTGCAGATGGTAGTAGATGTGTAACCCAGCAACAGCAATGGAGCTATTTCCCTGTCTGCAACCTCTACCGGCCACGACTTCTTTCCTTTGGCCCACAGCCCTAGCCTCTGATTTCAGGCACATCCTCCATACTTAACAGAATGTGTACAGAGACAGTCTAAAAACCAATAGAGTTGATAGGACCTTTACATGAATATGCTTCTGATAATGCATGGTTTTTGAAGCTAGACTGCTTCTTCGTTGGCTCATGGGCTCGATGGGCATATATTAGCGCCCTCTCAGAATCAGATAGGAAATCCCCCAGTGAGTGAGCTGCTGTCATGAGAAATTCAAATGGGTCGTTTGTGTTTTGTTATCAATGAAAACTGAAACATCTCACTGGAATAGAATTCATCACAAGAAACACATGCTCTCTCGTTTTATCGCCTTGTCATTGGAATTGTAGGAACCAGGCGGGGATAGAGATGTTGGGAGTTTTCTGGAGGGCGCTGGTATGTGGAGCTCCATGGTCTGGAGGAGGGGAAGCCATCACGGAGGGCAGCACTTAAGCAACGATGAGTTGAAAGGTGGCTGCGTATCGTGAAAGCAACAAGAAGAGACCCAACTCCCTTGTCTCTCTCTAGCCACGTCCTCCCGTGGGGGATGCATAAAAGCCCCTCACTCTCCCAAAGCTCACAGGAGGACAGCATGATTAGCCTGCCTGACCCACACACCGTAGGCCTGGACCACAGGTCTTAAACCGTTAGAGACAAGGGTGTAGAACCACTGTAGAAGGAAGGGGGCATTCTGCGAGGAAGGGGCCTCCCCCAGGCCCTGTGGTGCTGCAGCTCCTCCCATAAGGCAAGAGTGGAGAGAAGGAAGCACCAGGGTGCAGGAACCTTGAAGCCTTTCCTTCACTTCATCCCCGTGGGGGGAACCTCATCGCGTCTTCGGATCTGTCCTTTGGTCTTAACTCCATCTGGCCAAAGCTGACATTTGTACACGTGGAGTTTCTTGTAAATCACGTGAAGGTGAGCACTCGGGATGGAAACCGTGGGTTCTAGGATATTCTCTACCACGATAGTCAGTGACCATGGAAATGTCCTCGTGGCTTCTAGGATATTCTCTACCACCATGGAGTCAGTGGCCACGGAAATGTCCCTCCACCCCTCAGAGCCTCAGCTTCTTCCACTGTAAAATGCGGCCAAGCTCGCCCTTGCTCGCCTCCCTGGCCTCGCATGGTCAAATGTGTGACTTGAACTGAACACGCTCTCAGCACTATCTCTCTCCTCTAGCCCACGTCTCAAGCTCGTTAGCTGCAGCACTGGAGCTCAAGAAAGGAACCTGGGGACATGTGGGTTTGGAGTCTCATGCACAGAATAATGGAAGCGTTGACTAGGAGTTGAGGGTGTTGACAGAGAACCAGGGAAAACAACAAGAAAAACGAGACCCTTGAGAGACAGTGTGTGTGAGGCATTTGGGAGTCGGAGAGAAGTAGCCAGTGAGCGTCAGAGGAGGGGCCACCAGGAGACTTGACCATGGGCAGAGAATTCCTTAACAGGAGAGTCGTCTATCTGTCCAAACCCACTAGATGGTGGAAAGATGGGGTTCTGAGAAGAGGACGTGGGGCGCTGGGGCAGCAGCTGCGGCTGCAGAAGCTGGATGAGGGTAAAGACGAAGAGCCGGCAGTGACGGCCGGGATGCTTATGTCAGTGATCGTTAGGCCGTAGAGGAGAATCATGAGCCAAAGCAGAAACGAGAGAAGTGTTTCTATTTTGCTTTATTTTTACATATCGCACAGCAAGAAATGCATTCTCATTATGATCCTGGATGACACATCTACTTACACCCATCCACACGCACCGAGGGAAGCCAAGCTGTTTTTAGAAACGATAGTCGTACCATGCAGAAAGCACGCTGGTGGTTTCTAGTCCAGTCTGCTCTTTGTTGTTCCTTTGTATTTTGTTTTGTTTCTCTCTCTTTCTTTCTGGTTTTCGTTGTGGTTTAAAGACAAGTTATTCTCAAGATGCTGGCAACATTATTAGAATGGTTTGGGGAGCTTTAGGCAATATGGGGGCCCAAGCCTCACTTCTGAGGATTTAGTTGGGGGTAGGGGGCAGGCTCTGGAGCCACGGGTTTGGCGCAGGACCCCTGAGGAGAGAAGAATCAGGAGTCTGGCCATAGAAACAGGGCTATGGCTGGGAAGAAAGGGTCTAGGCTTCCTCCATCCAGGGAACAGATTAGAGGATGGAGAAACTGTTGAAGGCAATGAGGAGGGTGTGGGGCTAGGTGTCCAGGCAAACAGAGCAATAGGCTTGAGCCCTTGCACCCGGTGAAGGTAGGGCCCAGGGGCGTGATGGGGAGGGGCCTTGTGGCAGAGGAGTGGCCCTGTGAGAAAGGAGAGAGGGAGGTTGGCAAGTGGCAGAGCTCTCTGAGGCCAGTCTGAGCAGAGCTTTCGAGAGCCAGCAAGAGACACTTGAGAGTATTACTCAATGAACCATCTTTGGCCTTAAGATAAGGCTGAAGGACCCTTCAGACCAGCTCCACTCAAGTCCGAGGGAAGTGGCTATGGCTATGTCAAATGTCGGCGCCTTGGGGGCTGCTTCTCCTGGGTGTCAACCCGAAGCACTGGACTGCGGCTTACTGCAGGTCAGGCCTTCTTAGTCAGGGAACATTCATCGAGGACCGGGTCTGGCCCAGAAGACGAGGAGGAGGACCGATCAGATCTCGCCTCTGCCATTCGTTAGTTTTGCAGATAGAAAATGGGAGTGCTGCAAAGTTGGGCGCAGCTTTCTATCTCAGTTCTGCCACCCCCTGGCTTTGGGACTTTGGGCTTTGGTTTTCTCACCCGCTGTCAGGAAAGAGCCCTGGTAGTGTGGTGCTTGACAAGTTGGCCTGCTCACAGAAATGTCAGCGGTTTGAAGCCACCCCCCTCTCCGCAGGAGAAAGATGAGGCTGTTTCCTCCTGTAAAGCTTTACAGCCTTGGTCATTCTACTCTGTCCTGTAAGGCCTCTGTGGCTCAGAGTCGACTTGATGGCAATTGTTTGTGTTTGCTTGGTATAATAGTTCTATTTTGGGGTGGACATTAGGTCCTACCCTGCCTACCTAGCAGAATCATCCAGGATAACACAAAATAATGGATACGACGTTTCATGGGAGCTACAAGTTCTGAGGATAGAATGTCAGTAATAAAAATAACAACAGCAGCAGTAAAGATGACAACAACGATGATGACGATGATGATGATGATGATGATGATGATGATGATGATGATTTACAGGCAGCCACTGGTTAAAGGCATGTCTTTGGCTTCTCTCCTTTCTGAAACAATGCGTTTTAGTGGGCAGGGCCCTGGATTTGGTATCAGGCTAGCTTTTTTTAGTTCTATCTCTTCCTGGATTCTTCTGAGTCGTGTGGACTTCACCTCCGTGCGCCTTCTTCCCCTTCTGTAAAAGTGGAATGTATAATTCCTCCCTGCAGGCTAGCTTGGAGGCCTGAACGAGATCCCCTATGATGGCAGGGACTTTGGTGTTCAAAGGATGAGCAGGTACAGAGAATGGTTAGAGCCGCCAGTGATGCACAGACTAACCACTAGGCTACTAACCGAAAGACTGGGGAGCTTTGGAAGCAAAGCTTGGAGATCTGCTTCCAAAAAGGCAGCCATTGACAACGCTCCAGAGCACCGTTTGCACTGACATGCACGCCGTGGACTTGATGTTGCTGTTAGCTGCTGCCGAGTTGGCTCTGGCTCGTTGTGACCTTCTGAGCAACAGACTGAAACACTGCCCAGTTCTTACAACTGTTGTTATGTGC